TGGGCCCTTGCGTAGACAGGTGGGTAGCCGCGACGGAGACAGATGAGGGCCGCATTTTTTCACGTGCTCTAGCCGATCGCCCAGCCGTGGATCAATTTCAGTCATGGTGCGTATGCTGATGATATGTTTCGTATGGGACTGAGTGAAGATGCTCAGACGGCGAGTTCCCGCGTACAGGAGTGGGGCCGAGCCCTGGCTGCACATGTCAGCGAGCCGACGGGGCCACAGCATAATACCGACAGCAAGGAAGTTCTGTTTCGAGCGCATGGTCGGAGGCCCCATCAGCAAATACAGAAGTTTTACAACAAGCAGGATCTCACCTTCGAGGGGAACCCTACAATCTGCCTGAGACATCATGGAGCTTGGCATCACTTCGATGGGCACGAGACTTGGGAGCTTAAAAAATTGTCAGGGTGCGGCCCGCCTCGGGTGGAATGTTATGGGGAAGTTCTGGACCAGCCGTGCCCCTCGCAAAGTGGAACAGACAGTCTTCCAGGGGATGGTTGTACATGCATACTTGTCTGGTGGGGAGACGTGGTTACTATCGGATCGGGCTGCTGAACATATAGCCGGTATTATTGCACAACATGCTAGAGTTCTACTTATGGGAGAAGGCACTCATACACAATATGACGAGCAGGGGAATATTACGCATTGTCGTACGTGATCTAGTTTCGAGGTTCGACGTCGACTACAGCTGCGTACGACCTGGAGTATTCTGAGGTATCGCCGTCTTCGCTGGCTGCATCATATGGTTCGTTTTCCGAAGGACAATGCCGTCTTATTGGGAGTTCTTACTGGGGCTGTCTCGGGAGAAAATCAACTTGCCAGTCGTGGCAAACCTCGACATAGATGTAACCCGTGGTTGAAACAGTTTGGAGCTGATCTGAACGAATTGGGACGCCAACATCGACTTGCAAAAGAAGCCCTTCGTGCCCGAGGCTGGTTCGCCCTTTTCGAGGGCCCTGGCTTGTTCACCCCCCATCAGAAGATCATGGATCTTACAAATTTGGCTTCGAAGTTTTTCAAGTGTGAGTTTCTGGAGAACGACGTTCGGTGTACCGCATCTTTCGATGCGATGAAACAGTTACGTGTGCGCGAGTTTCGAGCGCACGGCCTCGTGAATGATTATAGGCGTGCTCTCATAACGAATCAATGTCCATGGTGCTCACGGATTTTCGCCAACGGCGCGAATGCCAAACTTCATTGTCTTGCCCGAGGCCAGAAGAACCCTCGTGCCTGTGCTAAAAGAGTTGGCCCTCCGTCTGGTCTTCTTTCGGCTCTGATGCTTCCTGCAGAACTCGCGTGTCCTTTCTGTGGCATTACTTTTACGGGGCTTGAACAAGCTCACTCGCGCATGCGATCTCGCTTTCTTGGGCAGGAAGATGGAGGCAATGCAGCAGGCGCTGAAGCAGGAGGTGAGCATGGCGAGCAAGCGCCGGGCTGTTGGAGAAGCAGGCGGCCAGGATCAGTACAGGAAGCTGGCAGTTGCGACGGCCGAAGCAGTGGTAGGCTTGGATGTCAACATGCGCAGGCTTCAGGGATGCTTGGAGACGACCGCGCTCGTGCTGGAAGGCCACCCCTACCTGCGGGGCCTCCGGGACGTGGGCAGAACCTACGACAGCGAGAGGAAGACGTACAAAGAGCAGAAGAACTACGATGCTATGAGTGCGATGACGCCAACACACGAGCGCTGTTGGATATCTTTGATTGCGCAGATAGCCAAGGACGAGAGTGTGCCGAAGGAGAAGAAAGTGAACCGATTGGCCTACAGCGAGACGTGCAAGTCCGTCACAGGCCAAATCCTGACGTGTATGCAGAAGAAGTGCCATCGCCAGAAACAGTGGACGGAGGATCGCTGGCGTATCAACTTGATGGTGGTGCCAGAATTGAGGACCATTCAAATGGAGGCGATGGCCGCTATAGCCATGAAGCCGAAGGTGGAGGTCAAAATGGGCGCCCCGTCCAGGAACCCGAACGCGCTGTCCGTGGTGAGCGCGCTCGTAGAGATGGGGGGGTACACGGCGCCGAACCAGGAGGCCTGAGCCCTCCTGTGCCGCAGGCCGCCGCCGCCGCCTTGTCCTCGCTCCCCTCCTCTTCCTCCTCCCAGCGAGGGCCCGAGGTTTTTCAGTTTCCAGAGAGATCGAGAGGATCGGTTTATAAGCTTAGGGGCTTATGAAAGTGTTTGGCCGTTTTTCGGGTTTGAGGGTGACTCCGATTATGATCAGAGTGCCCCGCTGTCCAGAGGTGGCGAGGCTGCGTGCCTCGAGGCCGTCCAGTGACAGTGCTGGGTGCCAGCGCTCCGCCGGGCTTTCTCGTGTCTTGATGGAATTGTTTTTTTGCACGCTGGGAGACAGTGGATCTCATAAGTTTTCATCTACTGAGGCCGTCAGCACCCCGCGACCATAGGGCCCAGCAGTCGCCTAATCTGAGCTTTGTTCACAATCTGGCATGCAGGGGACGCAATGGGGTAGAATAGAATAGAATCCTCCTTCTCCTCCTCCTCCTCCTCCTCCTCCTCCTCCTCCTCCTTGATGTGCGAGAGCCATGGCACGCGTGCCACTTGTTCGAACTTTCCTCTTCTTTTCGGGGGGGTGTTCACCTCTCCCCCAACCCCTCTCCCTTGGTCTGGTGCTCGGCTCCTGCGGCCCAGGCCCGCACCGGAACTGCGGTGCTCTCTCTGGGGTCGCCGGCAGAAGGCAGGGCGTCTCGGAGGAGTGCTCGAGCACCGCCTGCCCCGTGTTTTGTTGTCACCGCGTTCCTTCTCCCACTCCTCCTCCTCCTCCTCCTCATCCTCCTCTTCCTCCTCGTGTCCCTCCCTCCTCCTCCTCCGCTTCCTACACCTCCTCCTCCTCCTCCTCCGCCTCCTCCTCCTCCTCCTCCTCCTCCTCCTCGTGTCCCTCCATCCTCTTCCTCCTCCTCCTCCTCCACCTCCTCCTCCTCCTCCTCCCCCCTGAGCGACGCAGAAAACGGCGTCGTCTTCACCGACATTGACGCGTAAGCTGCCCGCGTAAGGTCGCGCGTAATCGCCCTCGCTTCAATGTGGCGTGCCTTGCTCGCGGCCCGCGTGAGCCGCCGCGTGAAGTCGCTGTGTCATCTCGCGTAAGACCCCTTCATTTAGCGAAGCTCATCTGCCTTAGATGCCCAACGGATGGCCTCGCGAGCAGCTGACTGACAGCGCTCCACCTAGGCCTTCGACGTCTTCATTTTTTACATACGGGGTCCCCAGACTGGCCCATTTCCCAGAGACCAGCACTTGACCCCAGGTAGTTTTTCGATGGTTCCAGGGCTCGGCTCAGGAAGGAAGGAACCTAGGAAGAACAGCATTGGTGGGGGAAAGATGCCGATGCCGCTGCTCCCAGGACCAGGGCGTATGCTTTGACCAGACCTTCGGGGCGAATCCAGCCGTGACGACGAGGGAGTCGTTCAACCTTGAAAACAAGCGGTCGTCTCCAACATGTCCGATCGTTCAACACTGACCGACTTTGTGTCGCCGGCGGCGTTCAACGTTGGACGCCAGCGGCGGGGTCGCCGCCGGTCGACACGACACGAACCTGCCGTACCTTGCCCTCTCCCGATGCTCGGGGGCGGCAACGAGGGGGGTGATGACTAGGGGGGGGTGGATGTCATGGCGTGGGCCATGATATTTCCGCAGATCTCATGGCGCCTCTTCTTATTCCATCCCGTCCCTGGCCCCCCCGCTGGGCCGCGCACGTGCCGCCGGTCGTGATTTGCACCCCCCCCTCTTGGACACCCCCCCTATTGGCCGCTCCCGATATCTAGCGCGTGGTGTCTGGTTGCTCCACCCATGGATAAGAAGGCATGTGTGTGTGTGTTTCCACTTCCCTGGTGGGTCGAGCTCCCGACACTGTACATCGTCCCCTTCTTCCCCCAGAGGGATCGACGCTGGGGCAGAAGGAAAGGATCGAAGGAAAGGATCGACTCCTGGGCCTCTGGGACTTCGTCCGGCCGAGGGGGGGGCTGTGGAGGCACCGAGCCACGCAGCCTGGGGCCTCGCCGCCGGGGCCCCACGAGGGGCGGTGGAGGCCTGAGCACCGGTGCCCACGGGTGTCGTCGAAGGTGGGCGTCCTGTGCAGCTCCAGAGCCCAGGCTGCGTCAGGCGCCTTCTTTACGTCACGGGGCGACCGTGCTTTGCCCTCCTCCCCCCACTCCGCAGGGGGCGCGCGCAGGTCTGATATGTGTCTAGTATGCTTCCACCGCCTTCCTGCTCACTGCACGCTTCTACCCACTTCTTCCGACCGAAGGGTGCCTTTGGAAAACCCAGGGTTCGCCAGGGATTGGTTCCGCCTCAAAGCGGCCCAAACCCTCTTGAAACCCCATTCGGAACGCTGTTCTTAGCCAACCCGGGACTCTCTAAGGGGACCGTGTTTCGAAGAAGAAACAAATGGAACAAACATACAGTCGGGGCCCTGAAAAAGGAACCCTTTTGGTTGGGGAGGGGCTCCGCGTTCCTTTAGTGTCACAGCTTGCCTCAGGTTTTCGTTATGTCTTCGATAGGACATCGAAGTTTAACTTATGGAAAAAAGGGGCCTCGTTCCTTATTTAGGGTTCCTTAGGTCAACGCCCCGACTGTAAACTTTCGGAGCGGCGCGCGGATTTCTTGGATCGACGCTGGGCCCCTCTGGCGGCGCCTCCGGCCACGCTCCCCTGGCGCGCTCCGCGCGCCAGGGGAGCGTGCGGGTCTCCGAAAGCTTCTGTTTATGCCTCTCTTTTCCTTCTTTTATACTTCTGGATGCAACTCCTGGGAGGGCAAATTCTTATCTAGCTTTGGTCCGAATTGTGGCCCAGTCCGAGTTAATCACGCTTGATCCGGCTTCATCTGGCTGAATCCCGCTTAATCCGCGGCCGAGTCTGGCGTAACAGCCCCATTTTTTGGTATGAAAATCTTTCCGACGAAGACCTCCAAGTAGTTGCCTCCTACTAATATTCTCTTCCCCGCCACCACCCGTCCGCGTCTCTTCCGCCGCCACCTCCCGGAGGATCTACGAGCCCGAGCCCGCGGAGCTGCCAGCGCGCGCGCTCCGCGTCGAGGCGCTGCAGCGGCCCGAGGCCCGCGCTCTTCGATCGCCGGCGGGGCGGGGCGCCCGATCTTCCTCCTCCTCCTCTCCTCCTCCTCCTCCTCCTCCTCCTCCTCCTCCTCGTGTCCCTTCCTCCCTCCCTTCCTCCTCCTCTCCTCCTCCTCCTCCGCCTCCTCCTCCTCCTCCTCCCATTCGGGATGGAAGAGATGGTAGGATAGGGAAACGGGGGGTACGACATCTGCTGCACGCTTCTGGTTTCGGCCCCGCCGCTGGGCCCATTCCTCGATGCATGGGCGCCTCCCTGCGTTTGGAGGCCCCAGGGAAACCAGCTACGTGAGCCGATTCTCTACCCTGCCCTTTGCCATCCTACCCTTTCGTCCCCCCCTATTCAGGCAACTCGATGGGCCGCGGGGGTATGGATTGGAATTCGTTGAACACGTGGCGAAGTCCTAACCTTACCCCCGCCTCCCATCGATTCAGGAGAATCGACGGTTGGTGGTGATAGCGTGCGGATGTCGCCACCTACCCAAGCCACCGCTGGGCCGGAGCCGATAAGCACGGCCACTGTCATGTGGCCGGATCTCTGGTCCCAGAGATCCCAAATTGGAGCGGCTGGTTTTCAGCTATTTCTGGGCCCCCTTGAGGCCCTTAACCTGCCCCAGGACTGTTAAAACATGACTCGGAGTGAAACACTGGACCATCAAGCATGGATCTGGGACGCGAGGTTACCCAGGGAAGGGGGTTCTGGATGAGCACGTCCACCGCCAATGTCAGAGGCGGAGAAGGTACCCATACCGCTATCCTCAATTCAGTTCTTTTACCTAACAGCGAAGACTGATAGGTTTCTAGTATGGTCAAAAGAGAGCATCATGACGTCCCACGGGGGGTTGGGCGGGATCCGGGGGAATGCCGGGGATTTTTTTTAGCCAACAGTTACACACTTCGTGGTCTTCGAGGTCCCAGAACTCCATTCCCGGGCCACATTCTGAATGCCCGGAGCCAAGTGTAGGCCACTTCGTGCTCTTCGAGTTCCCAGAACTCAATTCCCGGGCCACATTTTGAATGCCCAGAGCCAACTGTAGGCCACTTCGTGTTCTTCGAGTTCCCAGAACTCCATTCCCGGGCCACATTTTGAATGCCCGGAGCCAATTATAGGCCACTTCGTGGTCTTCGAGTTCCCAGAACTCCATTCCTGGGCATGACTTTGAATGCCCGGAGCCAACTGTAGGCCACTTCGTGTTCTTCGAGTTCCCAGAACTCCATTCCCGGGCCACATTTTGAATTCTGAGGCAGGCTGATGCTGAGGCTGAGGCAGGCTGAGGCTGAGGCAGGCTGAGGCTGAGGCCGAGGCTGAAGGCAGACTGAGGCTGAGGCTGAAGCAGGCTGAGGCTGAGGCTGAGGCAGGCTGAGGCTGAGGCTGAGGCAGGCTGATGCTGAGGCAGGCTGAGGCTGAGGCTGATGAGGCTGAGGCTGCAGGCTGAGGCTGAGGCTGAGGCTGAGGCTGCAGGCTGAGGCTGAGGCCGAGGCTGAAGGCAGACTGAGGCTGAGGCTGAAGCAGGCTGAGGCTGAGGCTGAGGCAGGCTGAGGCTGAGGCTGAGGCAGGCTGAGGCTGAGGCAGGCTGAGGCTGAGGCTGAGGCTGATGCAGGCTGAGGCTGAGGCAGGCTGAGGCTGAGGCCGAGGCTGAAGGCAGACTGAGGCTGAGGCTGAAGCAGGCTGAGGCTGAGGCTGAGGCAGGCTGAGGCTGAGGCTGAGGCAGGCTGATGCTGAGGCAGGCTGAGGCTGAGGCTGAGGCTGATGCAGGCTGAGGCTGAGGCAGGCTGAGGCTGAGGCCGAGGCTGAAGGCAGACTGAGGCTGAGGCTGAAGCAGGCTGAGGCTGAGGCTGAGGCAGGCTGAGGCTGAGGCTGAGGCAGGCTGATGCTGAGGCAGGCTGAGGCTGAGGCTGAGGCTGATGCAGGCTGAGGCTGAGGCAGGCTGAGGCTGAGGCCGAGGCTGAAGGCAGACTGAGCTGAGGCTGAAGCAGGCTGAGGCTGAGGCAGGCTGAGGCTGAGGCTGAGGCAGGCTGATGCTGAGGCAGGCTGAGGCTGAGGTGAGGCTCATGCAGGCTGAGGCTGAGGGCTGAGGCTGAGGCTGAGGCAGACTGGCTGAGGCTGAAGCCTGAGGCTGAGGCTGAGGCAGGCTGAGGCTGAGGCTGAGGCTGAGGCTGAGGCTGAGGCTGAGGCTGAGGCTGAGGCTGCAGGCTGAGGCAGGCTGAGGCGAGGCTGCCTGAGGCTGGCTGAAGCAGGCTGGCTGAGGCTGCAGGCTGAGGCTGAGGCAGGCTGAGGCTGAGGCTGAGGCAGGCTGAGGCTGAGGCTGGCTGGCTGAGGAGGCTGAGGCTGAGGCTGAGGCAGGCTCAGGCTGAGGCAGGCTGAGGCTGAGGCCGAGGCTGCAGGCAGACTGAGGCTGAGGCTGAAGCAGGCTGAGGCTGAGGCTGAGGCAGGCTGAGGCTGAGGCTGAGGCCTGCTCGTTGCTTCGGTTCTGCTCGTTGCTTCCCTCTCTTTCCTTTCCTCCTGCTCCCTGCCTGCTGTCTCCGCCTGGCCCGTCTTCTGCCTGCCCGCCCGCCCCGCCGGCCCTGGCCTCCCGCCTGGGCGTTCGTCGTCGTCTGCCTGCTTCTCCCCTCCTCGTCCCCTTCCGCCGGACAGCACAGCCTGCCCGGAACCAGCGTGGCGGCATATAGGGGCCTGACAAGCTGGTCCTGGTGGCTTCCGGCCCCAAAGCTTGCGAGGCTGAGGCTGAGGCAGGCTGATGCTGAGGCAGGCTGAGGCTGAGGCTGAGAATGATGCAGGCTGAGGCTGAGGCAGGCTGAGGCTGAGGCCCAGGCTGAAGGCAGACTGAGGCTGAGGCTGAAGCAGGCTGAGGCTGAGGCAGAGGCAGGCTGAGGCTGAGGCTGAGGCAGGCTGATGCTGAGGCAGGCTGAGGCTGAGGCTGAGGCTGATGCAGGCTGAGGCTGAGGCAGGCTGAGGCTGAGGCCGAGGCTGAAGGCAGACTGATGCTGAGGCTGAAGCAGGCTGAGGCTGAGGCTGAGGCAGGCTGAGGCTGAGGCAGGCTGAGGCTGAGGCTGAGGCAGGCTGAGGCTGAGGCTGTGACTGCGACTGCCGTTGCCACTGCGACTGTCATCGCGAATGCGACTACGATTGCGAGAACAGCAGAATTCTACAACTGGATTCTCATCTGAATCTTAAGGGGAATGCTTCCAGATATGCTCCTACACATCGCTGTTAGGTTGCTTTGCCAGGATACTTTGTTCCCAACCAACCTGTGTTGTTGGGTCCTCGTTTTGAAGAGACGGTCCCTGCGTCTGCTCCTCCTCCTCCTCCTCCTCCTCCTCCCTCCTCCCCTCCTCTCATCATCATCATCATCATCATCATCATCATCATCATCATCATCATCACCATCATCACCATCATTATCATCATCACCATCATCGTCATCATCATCGTCATCGTCATCGTCATCGTCATCGTCATCGTCATCGTCATCGTCATCGTCATCGTCATCGTCATCGTCATCGTCGTCGTCGTCGTCGTCCTCATCGTCATCTTCATCATGGTCGTCATCATCACCATCAGCATCAGCATCATCAACATCATCACACGTTTCGTTTCCCCATAGGAGCTCCACCGAAGGTCCCCGTGGCGCTGTCCGCATGCGTCTCCCCCACCCAGTACAGCGTTTCGTGCCCCATAGGGGCTCCGCCGAAGGTCCCCGTGGCGCAGTCCGCATGCGTCTCCCTCACCCAGTACAGCGTTTCGCGGCCCCATAGGGAGCGCCACCGAAGGTCCCCGTGGCGCAGTCCGCATGCGTCTCTCCCACCCAGTATAGCGTTTCGTGGCCCCATAGGGAACCCCACCGAAGGTCCCCGTGGTGCAGTCCGCATGCGTCTCCCTCACCCAGTACAGCGTTTCGTGGCCTCATAGGGAGCGCCACCGAAGGTCCCCGTGGCGCACTCCGCATGCGTCTCCCCCACCCAGGACAGCGTTTCGTGGCCCCATAGGGGCTCCGCCGAAGGTCCCCGTGGCGCAGTCCGCATGCGCGTCCCTCACCCAGTACAGCGTTTCGTGGCCCCATAGGGAGCTTCAGCGAAGGTCCCCGTGGCGCAGTCCGCATGCGCCTCCCCCACCCAGTATAGCGTTTCGTGGCCCCATAGGGAACTCCACCGAAGGTCCCCGTGGCGCAGTCCGCATGCGTCTATCCCACGCAGTACAGCGCGTCGTGGCCCCTTAGGGGCTCCACCGAAGATCCCCATGGCGCAGTCCGCATGCGTCTCCCTCACCCAGTACAGCGTTTCGCGGCCCCATAGGGAGCTTCAGCGAAGGTCCCCGTGGCGCAGTCCGCATGCGTCTCTCCCACCCAGTACAGCGTTTCGTGGCCCCATATGGAGCGCCACCGAAAGTTCCCGTGGCGCAGTCCGCATGCGTCTCCCTCACCCAGTACAACGTTTCGTGGCCCCATAGGGAGCTTCACCGAAGGTTCCCGTGGCGCAGTCCGCATGCGTCTCCCCACCCAGTACAGCGTTTCGTGGCCCCAT